CATTTCGTTCTGTCTTATGTTCGAAGGGGAACACTTCGAACATAACAGTGCCAACTAACTAATGAAAAATACTCGGCTATTATCTCGCGTATTTATAATTGGCTTGCCGCTCCATTGTCTCGTCGTTATCAAATTGATAAAATTGAATACGTTTTTAATCCTGCTCGCTATCGAATGTTTCTTGGACAAATGGAAACCAATGAAGCTCGCCAAACGCAACCTGCATTTCAGCCAAAATTAAACGACGAAAATAGTCGTGAAGAACGTCAACGCGTCTTAGAACGTCTTGATAAATTTTGTAAACAAGTAACTCATAATCGTCGCGTACGAATAGTTCGCATGTGGCATGGATGTAAAAAAGCTATATTGCCAAATCTTCTATCGAATGGATTTGCGGCATTAGGTACCCTAGATGATGGCTGGTATGGTAAAGCAATGTATTTTACATCATCGGCTAAATATGCAACACGTTATTGTGGTGAAACTGATGGATGTTTAATTATGTGTTATATTTTACTTTTAAACCCATTTCCAGTTGTTGCTGCAGATGTACCGTTGACTGTATCTCCAACAAGTTTTCGTCTTTATGGGAAAGGAAATCACAAGAATTATCAATATCATTATATACCTGTTAGCCCAGTAGGTGGTTCCGATACATGGGATTATCGTCCACCAACATCAGGTACAGATGACGCAATGTACGATGAATTAGCCGTATTTCAAGAAACTAATATACTACCACAAATTGTTATACATTTCAAGTAGTAGGTTCGCATGAATGAGTGTTGAAAGAAATGTACATTTATCATACAGATTGAAACTTCGAACTTTTATTATAATGGCAAATGATTGTGACTTACATAATAGTTCTTCAGAATAAATAATTCATTAAGAATATCTTTTTTGCTTCTCTTGGTTATTGATCTAATAGGAAGAAAAGATCAATATATAGATAACCTTGATGTTAACATTTCACTTGAGCAACCAAGATCTTCATATGATCTTGTTTCAATTTAAAGAAAATCAAAACAAAGTTAATTCTATACTGTGACTGCAATAGTAATGATAGAATCAACTCTTTAAGTCAGTACATACTTTTCGTTGGTGCTCGGTATTAATCTCATCTTAAATTTGATTTTATTTATTATCTATTTTATTTCTTTTAGAGGTGGCGAAATAATAATGTTTAATACAAATGACAATTTAAAAGGAAAAAAATGTTTTCCTGGACATCGAGCTGCTATTCTTTCAATGTGTGTTAATGATGACAATGATTTAGTGCTAATGTAATAAATTCTTGTTTTATTTAAAAAAAAAAACTTCGATACATTTAGGCGACATCGTCATTTGATGGTTTTGTACGGATTTATAGTTTAAATCAACAAACATTAATAAAAGAACTAAATGTGATTGAAAATCTCATATACGAGACTTCAGAATATTTCGTACAGGAATAGATGGACATTCTCATTCGGATCGTAACCGATACCGTTTTGATCGATCTGGGTTCACAAATTTATCAAGCTTAAAAGAGTCATTAAAGAAAAAACTAGGACATATCTTTCATTTCACTCATGAACATCAAAGTTGTGATAATGCCTCACTAATGATTATCCTTCCTGAAGATCGTATTATTGGTGGACCAAATGCAACAGAACATGTTGATGATAGTATACCTTATGTTGCAAAAACACCAATTTTTACTCATCACGATGATAATGATAAAA